CATCTTTGACGTGGTTGTCAGACAAATAAAAAATTAAAATCTACCTAATTTTTAGGTAGCAGATTGTGAAAGTCATATAAAATAAACGTCACAGAGACGTGTGCTGTCGTTTGTGTGTGCATGTCATTTGACCAGTGAAATGTAGCCACCTTAACTTCTTCCTGTCTGTGACATGCTAACACCCAACTATGAGCTTTTTCTACCCTGAAAATGCACCACTTTAAAAAGCTGTTGTTCCCAATACACTGGCAGAAGGAAATTACAACACAATATTTTTGATCAAGTTTCATGCCGTCCATAATGTGACGGCACTACGCGAGCAGAGAAACATCTATTATAGTCATTTCATTTTGAGGTATCTGCGACAATTTACAACTGTACTTTAACTTCTGCTTCCACTGAAACTACTTTACAAACTGAATTTTTGCATCAACCAGGAACTTGACAACAAAAAGTATACTGTGCCTGCATATTGCACATACTTGCCAATATAAGTCATTTGGGAATTATTTGATAGTTCAATCTTTGGTGTCCGTATATCAACCTTAACAATGAGTGAACTATCTTTATTTAGTCATAGCACTCTGTAGGAAGGTTTGATTTGAAGCACCATTTATGATTTTTCTTTTTTTTTTTTTTTTTTTAACATGAGTCCAGTTTTGGGCTCACATGCCACATTCCTGGACCATGATTCCTGAGAACAACGCATCATATACTTAATAACATAATTATCTGACTTGATGTCGTTCATTGCATTCACCTTCTGCACGAATGATTGCATCAAAAACCATGAAAAGGCCGTAATTGCTACTCTGCGGCCTCAGTTTGACTGATTTACTCATGCAGAATGGCCTCGCCTTTTGATGTAGACTGCGCAGCGGGGTAACTTAATAGAGGCATCCCGGTCGCGGGCTGGCTTTTAACCGGCGGCAACTGCCACGGTGTTTCCATGAGAGCACTTTAAATAATGTTTGCTTAGCTATTTTTAGCATGTGGATTGCTAATATGCATCACCATACACTGATACCTGGAGAAAGAAAACTGTAGCGGTACTGCAGATGACCTCAGTCAGGTTTTGTGTGTGTGTGTGTGTGTGTGTGTGTGTGTGTGTGTGTGTGTGTGTGTGTGTGTGTGTGTGTGTGTGTGTGTGTGTGCGTGCGTGTGTGTGTGTGTGTCCGAAATTGCATGAATGTGTGGTAGTTTGATTTGCACAATGATTTTATTGCACACTGGTTGTGGAGGAAATTTGACTGCGGATGCTCATGGCAGGGCAGGGTGAAAACAATGAACGTGTGTGCGTGTGCGTATGTGTGTGTGTGTGTGTGTGCGCGTGCGTGCGTGCGTGTGCACGCTTGTGTTCGCACGCACTTGTACGTCATTGGTAGTGAGAGAAAGCAAGATTTGGCTGAGCATGTTTTTTAATTGGGGGAGTTGGTAGATTTTTTGACACTCAAACATATGATACATTTTTCTTATTTAATACATTATGAGATGGTTTAGGGTGGCCCGGTGTTGAGTGGTAAGCGCGTCGACCTCACAGTGCAGAGGTCGTGGGTTCGATCCCGGCTCTGGCCTTCCTGTGTGGAGTTTGCATGTTCTCATCGGGCCTGCGTGGGTTTTCTCCGGGTACTCCGGTTTCCTCCCACATTCCAAAAACATGCATGGAAGGCTGATTGAGCACTTTAAATTGTCCCTAGGTGTGAGTGTGAGTGTGGATGGTTGTTCATCTCTGTGTGCCCTGCGATTGGCTAGCAACCGGTTCAGGGTGTGCCCTGTCTACTGCCCGAAGATGGCTGGGATAGGCTCCAGCACCCTCCGCAACCCTTTTGAAGATAAAGCGGGTCGGAAAATGGATGGATGGATGAGATGGTTTAAATTGGTAAGGCAGGTTTTGTTGATTGTCTGGTTTGAATTTGGAGTGTAGGCTTATCGTTTCCTGTTTATACTAAAATAATATGTTGTACCGCACTGACAATGGCAGAATGTGTAACTTCAAAATGGTGACGATAAATCCGCGGAAGCATTGCAGAAAACATTTATGGATAAAGCGATTTCGCTGAGTTTCAGGCCAAGGAATTGTGTTGGAATGCAAGCGCCACACAAGTATTCAAACCCAGAGCCATATCAGCCATCTGTGCCAGTCACATGCTTCAACCTCTTAAAAGCATCTTTATAACTTTTATTTTTGAAATCCAGTTCAGTCTTCCAGCCCTTATCTCTTACTCCCTTGATCCTTAATTGATGCTATCAGTCTGAAAGTTTTCCCCTCACCTCTATAAATACCTTTTACTCACACTGAGCTGACATGACATCAAAATAAAGTGTCCTCAGGCTACGGACGGCCCATGGGGACACCCTTGAAAGATGCTTCATTGGTTATTCTTAGAGGACAACACCAGAAATACACAAACTCTCATGCATGCACATGTAGGATCAACCATACAAACTTGGACCTGTTGGTGAACAGTGTAAAATAACATTCAAAAACCTAGTCCGTGCACCTACCTACATTGACTGTCTATAAGAACATCAGAAGCATCCAAACGATGACGGTCCCTGATGGCGCAAAGCTATTAAAATGAATATTCCGTCAAGAATTTAGGCGCATGTCAGTGTCTTTCATCGCCTTCTCAAATGCCCCTCCCAATTCTTTCAGATGACTACCTCAGACATTACCCTAAATGAGGGACTACCTTTGTGCAGTGCACTGCCTGAAAACACAGCAGTCTGGCAAACACAAGGCGGTTTGGGCACCCATGTGTGACTAATCGCTTGGCTGAGACACATGAGTCCTTTTATTGTCTCGTCCCAACCTCACTCAGTGCTGTCAGGGCTTTGAGTTTTTTGGGACCAAGCAGGCGCCATGTTTGCGCAGGCAACAGTTGCTCATTTGAGTGTGCATAACGTCACTCAGATGCTCGACTTCATACAATTAAAACCTCAATTAGCCTTTCCGGAATGGAGTAAATGCAGTTCTGTCTTGGGCCGCCATTCGATTGCCCCTGTCTACATGCTGGCCGTGACACCTGACATTTTTTTATCTCCTTGCTCTTCTGCTTTCTGTCAGAGATGCGCGTGCGCTCATGGCCAACAACGAGGCTCTCTACAGCGCCTATGGCAGAGGACTATGCGAAAGGGAAGATACAATTTCAGGGTGTAGGCATAGCTATCTAGTTAACTGCATGTCATAGTTGCACCAGATGACCACTGATGCAAACAAAGTTAGTCAAGTTGTTTTAGAGTGGGGAAAGGGCTACTCATATGGGGGCCCAAGTGGCCAAAAACACACTTTTCCCATCAAGTTTAAGGGAACTTAAGCCAACAGTGTATTTCTGTGGACCTCAAGACTTTGGGACACAATCATACATACATACCTGTACATACTTGAAACATCTATTTTTTGCCCAAGGCAGTTCATTTCAACGCCTAGTTTTCCATTTGAGCTACTAAGTCTGATAAGATGTCGCTTCTTTATGGCCTTCTTTTCATCTCTGCATCTCCGGTCTCTCCTGTTGCTATCCTCTTCTTCCCTCTTGTCAACTTATCTTCCTCAACCATTCGCCCCTCTTTTTCATCCTGTCCTAGTTCTCAGGGTCTCATGGTGAAGCTTTGTCTAATTACCATGCCAGCGTTTAATTGGAACAGCCTACACAAACTGATTAAACTGAGTATCCCTTAAACATAGACAGACTTTATTTTATGCACTCGCACACACACAGACACACAACAGGGCATTTGGATACACATTACACACTCAACAAGTTAACACGCTCCAATTGTACAAGCACACATAACACACTGTGTACACCAGGGTTAGAATCGTTGGATTTTTTCCAGGTTGGTACTTCAGTGACTGTGTCGCTGCCCTCTTTGTGGAGCCGAGGCATGTTGGCTCCAGCCACAGATTGATTTTTGGCCCAGTTAGACCACAAGCTCCCTGTAGCTGCTACCACAGTGTCATCCAACACAACTGGCGACAACACGTGCTGATTGAGGAGAAAAAATTATCATACTTTTGCACAAAACCAAAAATCATGCGTTTATATCTTGGGATTTTTTTTAAAAAGCACATTTTATGAACTAATGGCAAGAAAAGATCATCAAAAATCTTTCACATCAACATACATTTGTTTTTTTCAATAATCATAGGTCGAGTAATTGCTAATTATATGACTTGGGTCGCACCTGACGTTACAGGAGGCTGACATGTTTCACTGCCATCTTTCTGCTCCAGATGCACAAAGGAGAAAAAACAACTGATCACAAATTTGCAGGATCACTGACCACAGCAGGTGTTACAATGACACTAGAAGTCGTTTGTCAGGATATTTTGCTTACATCTCTGCTGAAATTGATGGTAGGTTTGCGAAATGCGGTCTCTCTGAGGCACTGTAGTGCGCGTGCTTCGAAATGCACATGCTTCGAACTTAGGTCATTGTATTCTATTAATTTGCCACTAGATGGCAAGTGCATTTTACACACTCCTCCTCCTCCTACTTTAAGATTATCGTCATCATCGTCATCATATTTTCAACGTTGTGTGTGATAATTGTTTTCATTTCACTCTATATTTTGTCTGAAGGTTTCTAACTTGTCCAGATGTCTCTTACAAAAGAAATTTCCAATGTCAATGACACCACCTGGTTAAATAAAGATTGAATAGATTTACGAAATAAATCTGCTTCGTCCTGTAGCGAAGGTCCCCGGTCCTAGAACAGCCGGCCTCGTTAAACGTACATCTAACAGCGTATTAATGTAATTAATGTGAAGGGTGGGAACACAAGCATCCTGAGGCTTTTAAAAAGTAATCAAATGAAACATTGAGACAAACATTTACGGTAGGTCTTCAAAAACATTTCAAGCATTGAAATGTTTTTGGTTTCTGACACTGGTGGTGGATTGATGCTTCATTTCAGTCTTTTAACTCACTAATTTTGTCAAAAGTGAAATGTCATCACAGTATAATGTCACTAATCTATTCTTGTTATTTTGTGTTTTAGTCCTGCCCAGCCATACATGTGGCACCCCTGGACTCATCCCAAACGGAGTCATTCATGGAGCGCGATACAACATCGGGGACAAAATCCGTTACAGCTGCGAGTCTGGTTTCGTCCTGGAGGGGCATAATATCCTCACATGTTTCGTATCACCGGGCAGCGGAGCACAGTGGGACTTCCCCTCACCATTTTGTAGAGGTAACTGCGCTTTGCCTTTCTTTATTTCTTATCCTTGACTGAGATAAGCACTTTCGCCGTCTCCCAAAGGGGCTCTGCGCTTTGCCTTTCTTTATTTCTTATCCTTGACTTAGATAAGCACTTTCGCCGTCTACCTGCTGCTAAATCATGGGGAAAATATATCTCCAGAAATAACCCTGACACTATATAAAACTAATTGCCTGGGTCATGAGAATGGAGAGCCCAGATCATGAGGTCACAGGCTGGAGACAGATGAGAAGCTCCCCGTGTATTGATTAGGTCTTGTTTAAACTACTGTATGGAACAAAGCATTCAATGAATCAGATTGAGTCTCACATCCTGACAAAAAAACCCTCTAATGGTCAATTAGTCTGCAAACAAGAAGAAAGCTGTGCATGTTTCTGCCCAAGAAACGGGTGAACAGGAAGTGGAGAAGGAATTTAAATCTCAGGGGCTGTCTCTGCAGAACTTCAATTTTGTGTGATTTGATGCAACAACTGCAAACTACAATCCCCCCCAAATAAATTCCTATATTAGCAGTTTTTAAAATTGTGTCGAATGTTGAGGCTTGTCACTCAGTGTGATGTCATATTTGGATTTTTTTTTTCACTTCTATGCTGCTGATGTATTTGGTTTCATATCCACAGTGAAACTGAAGGGCAGCATGGTGGGTAGTGATAAGAATGTTTGCCTCGCAGGTTTCAGCGTTCGACTCTCAGCTTTGGCATTAGGAGTTTGCATGTTCTCACGCTGCATCTTCTGCTGAACAAGTGTGCCGTAGACATAAATTGCTAAGTCATGAATCAGATTACAACAACAATGCAAACAAATCTGTGGCTTTATGACTTCAATTTATATAGTTATTTTCTATTAAAAAATTAAATGAATAAAGCCTGCCTGGCCGACTGAAGCGCATCAAGGGGTTGTTTGTTTATGGTTTCCATATTGTAATCTTTGTGATTACGGTAATTATTCAGCCCTCCAAATGAGGTGAAATGAGACAGAAATTGAATGGATCGCCCATCAATAGAGGATAAAAATAAACTGAAAACAGAATGCAGACATGCCAAGATATTGAACGATCCCTCTCATACACATCATCTCATTCATCCAGTCTCGTTTTTCTCTCTCCAGCGGAAGGGGCATGCGGCGGCACGTTACGAGGCACGGCGGGTTCAATAACCAGTCCCAGCTACCCCGCTGAGTATGACAACAATCTGGATTGCATGTGGTCAATCCTTGCCGAACCCGGGGACACGATTGCCCTTGTCTTCAATGACTTCTTATTGGAAGACAAGTATGACTTCCTGGAAATCAGCGGGACCGAGGCGCCCAGCATATGGTGAGATTTATTCATTTAATTTTTTCTGAAAATGACAAATCTCATTTATGCAGTCCTTCAAATGATAGTGTAAATAAATACACCCACAACCTGGTCTTGCTCTGTGAATAAAAATAAATTATTCCACTTTAGATATGATTGGACATGAATTGTTTTCCAAAGCCACAGGCATCAGTTACAGTTTTGTGCATGTGCAAATTTCATTTATTTGGTCAAGAAAGTGATCTTTCAGCAAATCCTAAAAACAAATGTGTTTTTTTTCACAGTCACGAAAATGCAGCAAAATATTTTATGCATACTTGGCACAAATGGTCAAATGAAATATGAAGCAAAAAAACTGGCTTGTAAAGCTTTGATGTTGAATTAGCGCAACCAAATTATAGATCAACAACATATAGTGAAGAGCAAACATCTTAAAGAAAAGCAAACTACAGCAGCACAGCATTTTCTTGCTTTCTCTCTTCTTTTGATCACACCGATAATTTGAGGCAAGCCCTTCATCACATAAAAGACATCTTTTGTTGTATTTAACTTTCCCCGGGGGCATGCCTCAAGTGCAAAACCCCAAAACACGACCCATTAGGACGCTTTGTTCCATGCATATCGTAACATCACCGTTCAACTGCACATTGATAAATTAAGACACGTTATTTTTAGAAACACCATTGATACATACAGTATGTATTTATGTATTTATTTATGAATGACAATCATATAACTTTCAAGTAATCGCTCATTGCTTTTGTTTGTACAAAATTGTACAAACTGTTTTTGAACCACTGCGATGCTGCAAAGCATTCCTCGTTTCTTATTCACTCAAAGACCACAGGGGGACGTGACAGATTCCTTTTTCACGCCATCTCCAATGTTTGTGTTTCAAATTTGGCAGTTTGTTCCAACAGCTCTGTTGCATCTGTTTCCCAAATTTAGTACACTGTTGGACTTCATGCCTTCATCTTCACTAAAGGCGTAATGCGTTTGAGCAGAGGTAGAAGCTGCCTGCTAGTTAAGCATGCAGTCTCGCCGCTCCATTTAGTTGCTGAGAAAATGTAGAAAGGCTAAACAAAGTATCGTGTCCACCATGTCAACAACAAAGATGACTTTGAGGCCATTTGTGTTTGGAAAATAACATCAGTAGTCTTTATGGTGATTTTCGGCTTTATTGAGACCGATTTTCCAGTTTGTTCATAAATCATCAATTGATTGTGGAAATGTTGAAAGGCCGCCATTCCCGAAGGACCTCATTAGCCTTTTGTGACACTACGTTTTCCTCTCCTTCTTTCAGTAAGACAAATGACTTTGGGTTCAACTGAAACAAATAAATTGCTTCCATGCGAACATCGATTAAATCGGTAAAAAAAATAAAAACATCTGACAATACACATAATTCTTCTACTCTGTAATCCTCTCGAATGCAATAATTCATCCAAGGCTTATGTTCTTATTTCTGCGGCGTCCTCAGAGCTGCGCAAGGTGACATGGCATTTGGTCTCGTTCTGTAAATACAAATATCAGTGAGACCAGGTGTTTGCATGCAAAGGTCACAGAGATTTATTCCAGGCTGTCGAACTGTGACTGTATTGGACTTGTATCTTTATTTATCTATCAGCATCTTCAGCCTGTTGATAAAGAACAATGTCGTCTGCTGAAAAAGAAATCTTGATTGTGTGTGGCGAGATTGGAATTGATTGGTGGACAGATAAATGAGCGGCGTGAAAGGGGGCTCAAGAGGATGGTGCTCGACAGAAACAAAAGGACGAGCGAATAATTGCGTGTTTAGTCTTGTCGCCAGTTGAGCAGTTACACATCAAGCGTGGCGTTCTCGTGATACCGTTTATGTGTATGTCTGCATGTCGGTGTCAGGTCTTAAGTGGCCCGCTGACAGCTTGAGCTGTTGCTTGTTGTCCACAGGCGCTGACAGATAGCGCACACACGTATGCACGCACATACTCGTCTGCCTTATCTGTGAAAGCTTACATTCAAAGACCACAATCACCCAGTCCTCTACAGTGCAGGATTTGGAGAGTTGTCGGTTTAGGCAGGGTGTGGGACTATTGAAGGCACACACAGTCAGGGACATGGAAAATGTCAGCATCAGCAAACAAAGCTTTTTAACTTAATATGATGTTTTTGAAAAGACCCCAGTGTCCCACCTAGTAGTAGGTGTCCATCTGTCCTGTAGCAAAAATGTTGAAGGTCTCTAGAGCAGGGGTCCCCAACCTTTTTTGACCCACGGACCGGTTTAAGTCAGACAATATTTTCAGGGACCGGCATTTAAGGTGTGGCGGATTAATACAACAAAATAATATGGTATGAGCTACATGAAAACGGTGGTGTTTTCGAAATATAATAATAAACACAAGGAGCGTCTAATCTGGTCGCAACACTCTTGTCGCTCTGGTAAAGTTTAATGCCTTCAAAATACGATACAACGCAAATTCAAAGTGCATGAAAATGACGACTCACCACAGCCCCGAGCTTGATTTTCTGCAATCAGACGGTCCCATCTCGGGGTAAAAGGAGACAATGACACCTCAAGTGTGTGGTTTATGTCCAGTCTACTTCGTAATTTTGTTTTAGTCGC